AAATAAAGATGGTCTCCAATTTATGATGATTCCATTTAAGATTTCTTGACTTGGTGATGCAAAAGCAGAACACATTCAGAAGCAGCTCTTCCAGTTTTGAATTTGGATCTTCCCCCAGGCTAGTGAGATACTGGGCTGCGGCGGCGGCAGCTGCAGCTCCCAGTCAACCAAGGCCAGCAGGAGGGCAAACAGCTGCCACTCCACAGTGCCGTCTTGGTAAGCTAGTATGCTTAGTGTGTTAGGTGTAGTAAGTGCATTCTTTTGACTGCAGTGTTTTCAATTTATCAAGGTTTATTGAACATAAATTCATGTGTTCACTTTTTTTGTATTTTATCCAAGTTTTAGTTACATTCAGCCAGAGAGACAGAGACAGAGATATGCTTCAGTGAGCTTATTTCATCCTGCCTGGCCAGAACCAGAAACCTCTCAGTATAGTTTTTTTGTTTTTGAAATGGAGTCTTATGTTGCCCATACTAGTTTCATACTCCTGGACTAAAGCAGTCATTTTTCCTTAGTCTCTCAAGTAGCTGCAGGCATTTGGCACCATACCCAGACCTCTTCCCCTGGTAGGTTCCCCCTGCATTGATTGCTTTCCCCCTCCCATTTTAAAAAATTTGAGAATGTGTTGATCACTTTTTCATTGCTAGGACAATACCCAGTACCCACAACTTGAAGGAGGAGAGGTTTATTTTGGCCATGGTTTCAATCTGGTCAGCTGGCTCCATTGCAGAGGCATGATGGAAGGGTCTAGTGGAGGAGAGCTGCTCACATCATGGCAGTCAGGAAGCAGAGAAGAGAAGCTGAAGCTGGGGAAAGGAGGTGTGTCCTGCCAGGTTATACCTCCTAACAGCAAGTCACCTAGATTGCCCCATGTGATCTAGTCGCCTTCCAAAAGCTCCACTTAGGAGCTCATGAGCCTTTGGGAGACATTCTCCATCTAAACCATAATAGGCTCTAGGTAAGTTGCCTGGGTTGCGCTTGAACTTGTTATCTTTCTGGGATTACAGACTTGTGCATCTATGACCAGCTTCAGTGGTTTTAGTTTACATTTCTCCATGGTGAAGTTGTGTTTGAACATGCTTCCATAGGTTCAAAAGCCATTTTTGTAGCATTATCCATGAATTATATTAATATCTTTTGCCCATTTTCTAATAGGTCTTTAGTCTATCTTTATAATTTTTAAAATTTAGGTATATTTTAAAAATACAAGGTTTTTTCTTAGACATGAAAAGTTTAAAACATTGTTTATATAGTGTTGTCAGTTTTCTAGTGTATCTAAGTTTTGAATTATAGCAGCCCTTTCCTACAACTAAGTTATAAAGCAGTTTCCCATGTTTCTATCTAGTATTTGAGTAATTTTATTTTTTACATATTGATCCTACATTCCATAACATAGTAAGATTTTCTTAAATATATGGTTTGTAATTTTTAGAAAGGGGATTTTTCAGGCTGGGCATTTAGCTCAGTAGCACAAGTACCTGCCTGGCAAGCACAAGGTCATGAATTCCACCCCCCAGTACCCCCCCCACAATTGTCTTTTCATTTAAACAAAAGAGAGGATCTTTTTTATTTGTACTTTGTTAATTCCTGGTTTTGTTGTACTGTCATAGAATCTTAGTTTTACATATTTCTTCTTTGTAAAATGGTATTTATTTGTGACCTAATATCCTAGAAAAAAATATTTTTTGAGATAAGGATCTTACTGTGTAGTGTAGGCTGAACTCTGTGTACCCCAGGTTGACCTCAAACACACAGTGATCCTCTTGCCTCAGCCTCTCAATTGCTGGGATTACAGGTGTGCGCCATCATGCCCGGCCTATACAAGAACATTTTATACATGTTCCATGGGCCTTTGAGAAAAAGGAGTAGGCGCTGTGTTAAGAGTATAAATTTCACATGGATTATATATGCTGTTATTTGTGTTGTTTAGGTCATTCTCATTGTCAAATTGGTCTAATTGTACTAAGAGCAATATGTCATATTCTCTAGGAGGAAAGCAGCTTCACTTTTCTTTTTTTCCCCCAAATTCATTTTATTTCAAGGAGAGAAGAAGAAAGGGAAAAAAAAACAAACCCAGAATTTCAAAACACATCAATCAGGGGGCAACAATGGTACATACATTGCACATTGTCATCCCCAAATCATTCAGTCAGGGCATAAGACATCTGCATTCAGTTGTCTGAACAATACCGCACAAATCTGTCACTTTAGTGAATTCAGAGAAATCAGTAGTATAACTACCTTTGACTATTTTTTATATACATATACATACACATATACATATGTCGTTGCTTTCAGCTTCTCACACTAATGAGACAGTACAATGTTTACACATATGTGTCTTATGTATTTCACTAATGAGTGTGGTCTCAAGTTGCATCCATTTACCTATAAAAGTCTCCAGTTTATGCTTCTTTTTGACTGAGTAGTACTCCATTGTATAAAAATGCCTCATCTTTTTTATCCATTCCTCAGTAGATGGGCATTTAGGTTATTTCCAAGATCTGGCTGTTACAGATTGTGCTGCTATAAACATGGGTGCATGTATATCACTGTGGTATGATATTTTTAATTCTTCTGGAAAGATACCCAGAAGGGGAATAGCTGGGTTGAATGGAACCTCTAGTCCTAGTTTTTTGATGAACCTCCACACTGATTTCCATAGTGTTGCACTAGTCTGCTTTCTACAAACAGTGCAGAAGGGTTCCTTTTTCCCTGCAGTCCCTCCAGCATTTGTTACTGTTTGATTTCTTGATACTAGCCATTCTTTTGGGGGTATGGTGGAATCTCCATGTTGTTCTAATTTGCATCTCTCAAATGACCAGTGAGGTTGAATATTTCTTTCACATATTTATTTGCTGTTTGTGTTTCTTCACCTAAGAAGTGTATATTCATCTTGGATGACCATTTTTGGATTGGGTCTTTAAATCTGGGAAGACTGATTTTTTTTTTTTTAGCTGTTTATATGTTCTTGATAGTAAATCCTTGTCTGAAGAACAGCTGGCAAACATTTTCTCCCACGTTGTGGGCTGTCTCTTCATTCTGTTGGTGGTTTCTCTTGCTGTGAAAAATAGATTCTTTGTGATAGTTTCCATGCAATTGGAGTTTTGCTCATAAAGACTTTGTCTACACCGGTATCTTCAAGAGTTTTACCTACTCAATCTTCCAGCAGATTTAATGTTTCTGTTTTAATACTAAGATTTTTTAAAAAAATTTTTAATCGATACCGGGTATCGAACTCACAACCGCCTGCTTGCAAGGCAGGTGCTTGTGCTGCTGAGCTAAATCCCCAGTCCCAAAGATTTTTGATCTATTAAGATTTTTGATCTATTCTGATTTTAGCTTGGTACATGGTAAAAGATACGGTTCTAGTTTTAGTCTTCAGTGTGTGTAGGGCAAGTTTTTTTCCAGCAGCATTCATTAAAGAGGATATCTTCCAGTGAATGCACATGGCAACTTTGTCAAAGATAGGGTGGCTTAGTGTGTCTGGAGTTGTTTCTTCTGATCTATCTGTTCCATTGATCTTTGGCTCTGGTTTTGTTTTGTTTTGTTGTTTTTTGTTTTTGCCAGTACCACACTGTTTTTTATCATAGTAACTTTATGGTATGATTTTAAGACCAGGGTTGTGATGCCCGCTGTCTTGCTTTTCTTGCTCAGGCTTGCCTTTGCTATTCTAGGTCTCTTCTGGCTCTAGATGAATTTTAGGATTGTTTTTTCTAATTCTGTGAGATATGCTGTTTGAATGTTGATTGGGATTTCATTGAATATGTGTAACAGTTTTGGAAGTATAACCATTTTCACTATATTGGTTCTTCCTCTTCAAGAGCATGGGCTATCTCTCCATTTTCTAATATCCTCTTCAATCTCCTTTTTCAGAGTACCGTAGTGTTCAGTGTAGAGGGCTTTTACAGAGGGCTTTGTTAGATTGATTCCTGGGTATTTCATTTTTGGGATGCTATTCTAAAAGGTATTGCTTCCCTGATTTCTCTCTCAGTGAGTTTATTACTCTTTCTCTCTCAGTGAGTTTATTACTGGTGTACAGGAAGGCTATTGATTTTTGAGTGTTGACTTTGTAACCAGCTATGTTACTGAATTTGCTTATTAAATCTATAAGTTTTGGTAGAGTTTTTGGAGTCTTCTAAGTAGAGTATCAAGTCAACTGCAAATAACAATAGTTTAACTTCTTTCTTTCATATCTTTATTCTTTTTTTTCTTTTCCTTATCTAATTGCTCTGACTAAACTTTCCAGGGCTATGTTGAATAAGAGTGGAGACAATGGACATCCTTGTCTTGTTCCTGATTTTAGAGTAAAAGCTTTCTGTTTGTCTATTTAGTATGATGTTGGCTGTTGGTTTATCTCAATCTATCAGGTTGAGATAAAGACTATCTATTCTAGTTTTCTGTAGTTTTTTTTTTTTAATCATGAATGGGTGCTGGACTTTGTCAAAACCTTTTTCTGCATCTATTGAGATGATCATATGATTTTTGTCCTTGGCTCTGTTAATATGGTGGGTTACATTTATGGATTTAGGTATGTTGTGTCATCCCTGCATCTCTGGGCTGAATCTCACTTGATGATGGTGTACAATCTTCTTGATGCTTTGCTGCAGAATGTGTGCCAGTATCTTACTGAGGATTTTTATATCTGTGTTCATTAGAGAAATTAGCTTGTAATTCTCTTTCTTAGTTGAATCCTTTTCTGGTTTTGGTATCAGGGTTATGCTTGCTTCCAGGAATGAATTTATAGTATTGGTTCTCTTTCAATTTCATTAAAGAGTTTGAGAAGTAGTAGTGTTAGTTCTTCTCTAAATTTCTTGTAGTAGTCAGTAGTGAATCTGTCAGGGCCGTTCTTATCTTTGTTGATAGGTTATTAATTATATCTTCAATTTCATTTATTGATATTGGGTTATTAAGGATTTTTATATCTTCTTAATGCAGCTTTAGTAATTCAAATGTATCTAGGAAATCTGTCCATTTCTTCTGTATTTTCCATCTTTTAGAATACAAGTTTTTGGTGTTCTCATGCTTTCTGTGAACCAGACTCTGGCATGGGGATCGGGAGGAGACTGCTCAACAAGAGGGCAAAGCACCTGTGAACCAGCCACTACATGGGCTGGGAAACAAGAAGAGCACACCCCTGTCACCTACCCCATAAGCAACTGGCTGATTCTGAAGACTCGGGGTAAGATAGTGACTGAGGTGAAAGGAATAGCTTGATCCTTAAATTGTTTGATTGACTTTGCAAGCCTGGAGCTGGTAGTCTGGGCATATATTTGGAGAATGGCAATGTACATTGTGGTAACTGTAGGAGCTTTCTTTCTGCCTTGTTTTTTAAATCCAATGTTTTGTTTCATTTTACTGTTTTGTTTTATTCCTGTTTCTGGTAACCTGAGCAAATATTTTGAAGATAACAATATACAATATAACAACTATTGTTAAATTGCTATCATCTTGTTTTGAAAACCTATATAGCTATTGTTGTTTTTTCATTGTTGTTGCTGTCATTTTGCTTTTGTTGTTGTTTTTGAGATTTGTTTGCATTTTGATTTTTCTGTTTTTCGTTTCTTTTTAAAATAAACAAAGCATGATTTGGAAAGAAACTCTTCAAGGAATATGCATATATACAGGATAGTTAAGATAGTTATACAGCTAACTTCTGTTATGTCGTGCTATAGTGATATATGTGCACCCAGATTTAGAGCAGTACAATTTGTAATAGCTAAATCTTGGAAACAACCCAAATGCCCATCAGCTGCGGAATGGATAAAAAAGATGTGGTATTTTTATACAATGGAATATTGCCCAGTATAAAAAAAGATAATCTTGGGGCTGGAGATTTAGCTCAGCGGCATAAGCACCTGCCTTGCACGCAGGCAGTCGTGAGTTTGATCCCTGGTACCGATTTAAAAAAAAAAAAAGATAATCTTGAGGCTTTCATAGGTAAGTGGAGGCAGCTTGAGACTGTATTCGTAAGTGGAATAAATCAAACTCACATTTGTAAATGTCATATTGTCTTCCTGGTGTAAGAAAAAAAACCTGAAAGAGTAATGAGATCCAAAATATATAGTACATATTGTGATAATGAAAGGGAAAGAAAGTACTCACAAGGAAAGAACAACTGGGATAGGGGAAAGGAGAGGAGGATATACACACACACACACACACACACACACACACACACACACACGTATATGAACGTGTTTACAAGATAGATAGCTATAATACTAATCTCTGTTCGTTCATCCAAAGGAATAGTTGTGCTTTCATTGTTTGACTGCTTGATCATTTTTTGTGCCTAAACCTTATAATCTGAGCAACTATTTCTAAGACAACGTGCAATATATTAATTAGTGTTAATTTTCCTACTTTTTTTGAAATTCTGTATCATTTCTATCCTTTTTCTGTTGCTTTCTAAAAAAAACACAAGTTTTCAAAGTAGGTATAGATGATTTTATGGATTTCTGCAAGTTCTGATATAGTTTCACTCTTTTTATTCCTAATTGCATGGATTTGAGTCTTTGTCTCTTTTGATAAGGTTGGCTAAGGATTTGTCAATTTTATTTAATCTTTCAAAGAACCAACTCTTCAATTCATTGATTCTTTGAATTTTTTTTAGTCTCCAGTGCATTAATTTCTGCTCTGATTTTTTTAGTTTCCTCCCTTGTGTGTGCTTTTGACTTAGCCTGCTCTTTTTTTCTAGAAGCTTGAGGTTTGACATTAAGTTGTTTATATGTGCTTGCTCTGTTTTTCTGATATGGGTATTTACTGCTGTAAGTTTCCCTCTTAATACTGCTTTCATTGTGTCCCACAAGTTCCAATATGTTGTATTGTTGTTATCATTCAACTGTAAAAACTGTCTATAACTTCTTTAATTTTATCTGTGACCCACTGATTGTTTGGTAGAGTGGTAATTTCCATGTGTCTATGAAGTTTTTGTGGTTTGCTTTAGCATGGATTCCAATTTCATTGCACTGTGATCTGATAGTATGTATGGGATAATTTCAATTCCTTTGTATTTACTTAAGCATATCCCATGAGTCAGTATATGGTCTGTTTTGGAAAATGTCCAGTGTGCAGCAGACAAGAATGTGTATTCTGATGTTGTAGGGCAGAGCACTCTATAGTCGTCTCCTAAGTCCATTTGTCCAAAAGTTTGATTTATTCTTATGTTTCCTTATTGATTTTTTTGTCTAGTTGATCTGTCTTTTTGTTACAGTAGAGTATTGAGGTCTCTCTATACAACTGTATTAGGGCTTATTTGATTTTTCATGTCTGTTAGTAATTGTTTTATATAGTTGGATGCACTGGTACTTGTTACATATATATTTATGATTGTTACCTCTTCCTCTTGGATTGTTCCCTTTATGAGAATGTAGTGACCTTCTTATATCTTACTCAGTCTTTGCTTGAAATTTGCTTTGTCTGCAAATAGAATAGCTACCGCTCCTTTTTCTGGGTTCCTGTCACATGGAGTATTGTTTTCCATCCTTTGACTTTCAGTCTATGAATTTCTTTTTAAATTAAATGTGTTTCTTGTATGCAGCATATTATTGGATCTTGCTTCTTGATCCATTCTGCCAGTCAGTGTCTTTTGCCTGGTGAATTAAGATCATTGACATTTATGGTTATAACTGAAATGTATTGATTTATCCTTGTCATGTTATTTTCCTATTGTTGGCTCTCCCTCTTTTTTTCCCCCTTCTTCTAATTGTTTGCCTTGCCTGGTGGATTCCTTCTGTTGGGGTTCATGAAGGTGTGGTCCTTACTATCTCTTTCTAGAGTGTCCTTCAGAACATTTGGGAGTGCTGGTTTGGTGGTCATAAATTTCCATAATTGTTCTTTGTCATGGAAGTATCTTATTTCTCCATCAAATTTGAAGGATAGTTTTTCAGGGTACATCAATCTGGGTTGGAAGTTGTTTATCTTTAGAACTTGGAGTGAAGTTCTCTAAGTACTTCTTGAGTTGAGAGTTTGTGCAGAGAAGTCAGCTGTAGTTCTGATGGGCTTTCCTTTATAGGTGATTTGTTTCTTTTCTCTAACAGCTTTTAGGATTCTATTCTTGTGTTGATTTTCTGGAATCTTGACTAAAATATAGATTTTTTTTGATCATTGCTAATTGGAGTTCTATATGCCTCATTTATCTGTATGTTAAATTCTTTTTCTCTACCAGGAAAGTTTTCTGTCATGATGTCTGTGAACATATTTTTAAATGTAATTTGAGGTATCTCCTTCTTGTTCATTGACTACAGTTAATCTTAAGTTATTCTTCATGTCATCTAGCAGCTGCTGGATTGATTTCTCATGGTCCCTTGCTATTTTTGAGAAATCTTTCTTTTTCTGGTTGCTAACTGCAAGCATGTCTTCAATATCTGAGATCCTATCCTCACATTGCTTGGAATACTTTCAATGGAGTTTTTATTCTCCTGGATATCTTCTTGAACTTGTTTTATGGATTTCATTTCTTTACTCTGCTGATCTGTAATTTTCTTAAGCTTGTCTACTTTTTTTTTTTTTTTTGTCTGTGTCATGGTATGTATTTTGGTAATCTCTCTAGTTATCTGAGAGATTATTTCTTATTTCATTTTTTCCAGAGCCTCATTCAATTGCTTTGTTGTTACCACTTTAGAGAGATCTGATGGGGGTCTTTCGGACTGTCCCACCTCATAGCCCCCTAGATTTGCCTTTGGGGAACTGGATGTCTGGAGTTGCGTTTTGCTTAAGTGTCTTCTCATTTTAGTTTTTGTCTTTTTTTAGTTTAAGTCTTGGAGTGATGCTTGTAAGTTGCCTATGATGGATTGCTTTATTGGTAGTATTTAGGACCCTTATGTGATGATTACCTCTCTGAGGTATCTTCCAGGTGTAGCTGGTTTTTGGGTTTTGAGTCCATTGGAAGATCTTACCACTTCAGTTTGTTGGAGATGAGAAGTTGTTGCTTGTTTGGCTTAGTCCCTGGTTCTGTGACACTGTGCCACTGTATTTCTATGATCATTAATCTCAATCATGGATTATCAGGATGAACAGCTGTTTAGAACAATTATGTCAATTTTGGCTATCGTGGTACCAATAGCATGAAACACAGCCTAGCAAACAACAAACTGAGCTAACCCATAATTTGCAATTTTTAACTGTATGAACTAGATTTGTGATTATATAACAAAGTGTAAAACAAACCAGATATTTATGTGCAATATAGAACTCCATAATGTATCAATTTTGCCTTCAAGGGTTAAAATTTAAAATGGATTAAGGAGAAAATAGAGAAGTGGAAGAAGAGACAGAGATTAGAAGTAAGGTTGGAGGACAAAGTCATGCCAACTTGGGAAAAGTGGTGCTGAAGATGGCAGGAAAAGGGAGATGGAAGAGATAAAAGGAAAAACAGAACAGAACTACACTCACAAAGAGATTAGGAACCACTTTCACATTCATACAAAAATAAGGAGAAAGAAAAAAGCAAAAAAAAAGAAAGAAAGAAAGAAAGAAAAACAATCTACTTCCAGGATTCTCTCTTGCATTCACTAGTAAACAACCTGTGGAGACAGTCTCAAATTGCTATCCCAGCAAGCCAGTAGTTGCTTTATGGCAGAGTAGTGGATAATCTCAGCAGGCCTGCCCTGAGACCAGACTCATTAGGCTTGCCGCAGTCCAAGCAGTTTTCACAAATCTACATGCAGCTGGGAGCTGCTAGACAAAGGTGGCGACAGTTCTGTGTTCTGTGCTTATCTGGACCGTCTGCAAGATGTCTCCCAGTTAATTTCCCTCTCCCATGGGAGGTCCTCTGCATTCACTGCCAGGCAGTGCAGTCCTCCATGTCCACTGCTCCCCTCCACTGCTGTGCCTCTCTGTAGAGGCCTCCAGGGTCGCCAGCCAACACCATCACTATGACTGTGAGTGCCCAGGTTCAAACAGCTCCTCTCATGCAGGTAGCCCTGTCTCGGCAAAGGCACTGCCAGCTACCGCCTTCTTCTTTGAAGTTTTTCTTTATACTCTCTCTATGGGCTTCAGTTTGCACTTCAGATTCTTCTTGGATCCAGGGGACCCACTTTCTTCTTTCTTGTCTTCTTCATGGTACTGTATTCCAGTGTCTGGACAGTGACTCTCAGAAGGCTGTTTTCTCTGCTGCTTACCACTCTGCCATCTTCCTGGAAGTTGGGCTTCCTTTTTAAACAATTTTTTTTCTTATTG